ACATGGGAGTATACTGTACTTCGGTGCTGTTTCCAGGCGCCTGTGTAACCAGGTGATTTTCATAGAACGCTGTTTGCGTGAAAAATTCAAGATTACAAAACGAAATTAAGCATATAATTGTTTTGCTGTCCTCCTTTCCGCACCACAGCTTCCGATTATCTAATTTATTTTAGTGAAGATGACGCCGTTTTAAACTCACCTTTTCTTCTTAACGACTGGGAGCTCTAGACTTTTCTTTCAAGAACTGGTTTGCACTGGTTCGCGCTTGATGGAAACGGCGACCGAGACGTTATTACACAAGAGTCCCTGAACCAGAACCAAATTGGAACAAAATGCAAAGCAACCCGAACTTGAACCGAACCGGAATAATGACCCAATTCGACTCCCTGCTTTTAACTCAGCCGATCTTCTAGTGTTAGTGTGGAACACAAATAAAAAAATTGGATTGAATGTACAGGAAACGTAAAAGTTTACGTTTTAATCCAGGTTTCCTAATATGACGGTACAGTCCCTTGTGCTGGCGCCGTATACCAATTGCATTTCGTCAGTGGTTTTCTGTTCTTGCGGCGATTCGGTTGCGAAGTGTTTGAAGCAGAGAGTAAGATAGCTTCTTCTTGCGCCACGCACGAAATCGACATTTTTAAGGCCTTGTCAAACAAACAACACGCTAACCATGCATCTGTGAGGGCATACACGGTCCGTTTGCGAAGAAAACGAGTGGTTTTAATTTTTGGCGCCAGTTGGGACTCGTAAGCCTTTCACGCTTGATCGCGTGGTCGATTTCTGCAGTGACAAGAGGTTACCACGAATCGCTTTGTGCGGCCACCCCTCGGTTTAGCAGAATGGGTGCTTTGAGAATGCTTTTGCATACTTTTGCATACTTTTGCAGCCTTCTCCGCGCTGGGTGGCGTTAGCAGCTTTATGATGTCTTTTTTTTTTTTTTCAGTAACACAATCTAGCTGTCGATGGCCATATGGCCATTTTTTTCACGTTTGGTGTAATTGTGGAGTTCAGCAATTTCAAAAGTGGGAATGGGCCCAGTGTCTCCCTTCTCAGAAGTTGAAAGGAATGGAATTGTCGGGCACTCTAATTTCCCGGAATGAAATTGGAATGGAATGAGAGTGCCCATTCCGCAACAATGGTCGAGAATCACCGAAACATCCGTGCATAGCATGAAGCGTGGCTGCTGATTCAAGAAGCTTTGCACCCGACATGCAAACCACGAATGTCCCGACGACTCGTGACGTAAGGCGGCGATCTGGGCGAGAAAGAAAACTTTATTCAAACCACCCATGCCGTTGGAACTGATTCAACATGGTTAAAGTTGCGCTTGTCTGTCGTCTACGTGCTTCTCTCCTCTGTTCCTGTATTTCTGGGCGCTTCTTTTGCCATGTTGATTCGAAAAATGAGAGTTTTGTTTTTCTGCAGTCAATGTGTGTTTACTGTTTGAGTTTATTTTCGGACTAAAAGTTGGTAACTGTTGCTACCGAGGAGTTCCCCAGGCAGCCTCAGGCAGGGCCAGGCCAGGACAGGAACCGCAGGCCGATTCCGGGCAGGAACATAACGAGCCGGGAGGGTCTCTCGCGACAAACTCTCTTTAATTACATGTACACAAAGTATCTACATCGTCCAAGAGCAGACTTTGCGACCTCCTGTTTGCTCCTTTTACCGGGTCGCTCCCGTGGTTGACAGCCAAGGGTGGCCGAGCTGCCAAAAAACGTCATGTCCAGGCTTCGCCCCCACTGATCCCCTGAAGCACGCGCGCACACACAAACACATACTGCAGTGACGGATGGGCTTCACATTCCGGCGCCGAGGAGGCCAGGACAAAGGGTCGACTGTCAGCCCGTGAGATGGTGACCGAGATAGTGATGATCCCTCCATTAGGCGGCGTCTTGGTACAGGAAAGGGTTTGGCCGGACCATTCGCAGTAGCCTCAGAGGATAATCCAAACCGAACACAGCCTCACGGAAGTCGTGCAGCTGGCGCGCCGTCACCCGGAATCTTCGCCCGGTAATGCCCCCAGTTCCCGCGTCGACTGATCCCGCCTCGGGCTAACGTAATCGCAGCCCGAAAGAAGGATCCGGCTCAGCTTCGCGCATAGGTGTGGCGACGTCAACACGGTTCCAGGCGGGGAACAAAGGAGGGTAAAGAGAGAGGAAGGGCGAGGCCTTGACCAAGGCCTGTCGCAACATAACGTCACTTTATTTTAAAAATATTTCCTAAAAGTAAAAAAAAAAAAAAAAAAAGAAGAGGAAATGCAAGGCAGCAAAAGATAAGACGAAAAAAAAAAAAGACAGGTTGTGAGCTGGATCATATTTTTGGCACATCGGCATGCTGTTGTCAGCAGCTCTTGTTGCCTTAAAAAAACAACTTTGTTTGTATTTGAGTTAAACCATTTGTGTGTGTGTGTTTGTGTGTGTGCGTGTGTGTAAAGCTAGTAAGCTCTGAAAAAAATCAACCATCTAGGTGAATGCCTTATTTCGAACTATTTTGTTCACGTTTGACCCATTGAGAGACAGGCGTCGAAAGAGCACAAGCCCGCACTTAATATCGCCACACCGCCGTCTTCTTCCGCGCGATAAAGACCGTCCGCTACGGTCAGCGAACGTGATCAGACGCACACGCGAACGCTGCGTCTGAAGCCAGCAACATCCGACACCATTTCCCGAATACCGTCTGCTAAAGTCAACGTGAGCAACGCCAGGACGCACCGACGTGGGGGCCGACAGCGGAAAGCGGTCGCCTGCCGAAACCTCGGCGTTTCCGACGAGGGTTTCTGCAAGCTCGCGCTGGGAGATTATAATCCATTTTCTTCCGAGCGGAGCAGAGCGAAGCGAGAGGTGACAGCGCGTAGCGCGGTCTCTGTGAAGGCCTCTAGCTTGTATCCTCAAGCTAGCGTTGCCGCCTTGATATCAGACGGCATTTAAAAAATGACGCCGCCCGTTCTTGGCTTCAGACGCTGCGTTCCCGTGCGTGTCTATTCAAATTCGGTGACCAAACCAGACGCACTTTATCGCGCGGAAAGATACGGCGGTATGACGAGATCAGGTGCGTGTTAGCTCTTTAGCCGTGCTTTTCAATGTGGAAAAAAAAAAAAAAAACACACACACACACGCACGCAGAAAAGTAGTGTTTTTTATTGGTATCCATAGGCTGTTTGTTCTGCTTGACACATAGAGCTAAAGTACCACACTTTTCTCTTTAAAATATATATATATATATATTTGCAGAGAAGTTGGATTTATCGGATCAGACTAATAGATGGGCTGACCTTGTATATGATACCGACCGATGCCTCTAGAACCAATGGCACCCTCAAGACAAGGCCCGAACATGACGTCATCGTAAGTGGGTCTCCGACCCGCTCCTAGCGGCAAGCACGCCAAAGCTCGACGATGACTTTTGGGAGGGGGGGAAGGGGGCGACGCAGGCCTGGTGTTGATAGAACTCCCCGCTGAATGTCAGTGCCCTGCAGAGCCCGTCGTTACTCGCGCCTCCCAGGAAGCCACAGTTCATACGTGCTTTCCACAAGGACGTTTCCTAATCTCCTAAGAGGATTCGGACGTTCTTAAACCCAACTCGCGCCCCTGAGAGGGAATGTTCAGCTTACCTGGGGTCAGCAGACTTTCCCCCAGCAATTATCGGAGTCTCCTGGCACAGAAGCAATGGCCGGGCAGGCAGAATGATAATACACAGAACAGATCTCGGGAGTCTTGAGGCCACGAAAAGTCATCGCACGCTTTGACAAGAGAAGGAACCCCAGGGGGCTGGGAGTGAACGCCGGTGACCTTCACGTTGGGGGTGGACGCGGTGAGACCCTCCAGTGATACTTTTTTCCGGGCCTCCTTTCACAGATTTAGGCGGTCGTAAATTGGGCTGTTTATTTATAAATACTGACACTATCGAAAATTATGTCGGAGTGAACAAAAATGGTTTAGAAATACAGCCTATAAATACCAGGAACAAAACTAATTACACGGTTTTTGATTTTGACGGAATCGGCTGAACGTCACTGCACATATCAGAGGAACGCACTCAGAGATTGCAGTGCCCTTCCAAATGTGACTAGCTTACTTGACTGCATCAACAACCGAAGCAAAATTAGTCAGTGCGCAGGTGAACTGGTTGAAGTTTACCATGATGTATTTAAACAGAGACTGAGGCAGAAAAAAAAAAACAAAAAAAAAAAAAACAACCACAACAGTTTTATAAAAAAATACAGGGACAGAGAACGTTTTTATAAATATGTTGTCTGGTGCTGTTTCAATCTCTACCACTGTCAATTTTTTTTTTCCCTTCTTGTACCCCTGTCTTCGCTTAGATACATCACTGTGGAGCAAAATGTTTCGGACTGAAATGGCGTAGATCAACAGTACTTAAACTTTAAACCAAATAAATTAAAAAAAAAAGATAATCAAGCAATGATTGATAATGCAATTAAAATGTAAAGGTGCAAGCGAGCTGGACCTCACCTAGCTGTGTTTAGAGATTTGTGTTTGTCCTTTGTTCCCCTTGTCCCCCTTCTCCAGGGATTATTTTCGTCCAATCAATACAGACCGTGTTTTCTTCATCCATCATTTGATGTTTCGGTTATCAGAGTTCTTCCGTTTTACCTTCCATCGCGAGAAGACGGAGGCATACGATACCCGTCAAGAGAAGTGCATTTAGAGGCGAGTTCGACCACCATGCGGTCGTCGCCGGTTCCGCCAGAAAAAGCTCGGGCCGCCCTCCCCGTCGTCATCTTCGGGACCGGTATCCCGCCGGCGTGGCCGCGGCGGGCCGCAGCAGCTGTCTTCCAGAGGAGAAAGGGACAAGAAAAAAAGAAAGGGCCTCAAGCGCCCTACCCCAAAGGTGTGTCGGAGGCGCTGGTGGGGAAGGAGAGAGTCTGCAGAAACCGTGGAAAGGGTGAAAACGCGCTGTGCAGAGAAAGCTCTTTCTTTCGAACGTCGCGCGGAAAGGACCCACGTCTTCGTTGAGACCTCCGAGCCATGTGGACAATGCCCAGGACAACATCAGTCCCCGTGGTCCTTCTGCTATGGTCTGTGGTCCTGGTATGCGAGTGCAGGGCGGAACTCGAAATCCGGAAGCCCGAGAACATGTCCGAGATGGAGCTCGCCCGGAGGATGTGGAAGGAGCAAGAGGACAGTCTCAAGGGGAGCCTGGAGTCCTTCTTCAGGACGCTCTTTCCGACCCTTGTGCGCTTGGGCTCCGAGGCGGAGATTTCGGCGGAGTGTCAGGCGGCCTACTTCAAGATGTTCGTTGCTGTCCGGCAGCTCAAGAGCTGGGCGTTGCGGAGTGAGTACCCATTTGAGGTTCCTGTCTTGTCGTTGTTGCCGTTGTTCGGATCACGCGACTCTGCGTACGAGGTCGTGTAGCTTTACTTTAAAGGTTCTCGAGGACTGTCCGTCTAGTTTTTAATTCAAAGATATTTTGCGAATCTGTTTTTTAGGTGAAAAATACGCCCCAAACAAATATAAAAATAGCTTGAACGTTGCTTTAGCAGATGTTGAAAAAATAGGGACTCCAACTAAACAAATAGCACTTAACGTTCTATATTCGAACCTGCCCCCTGAGGATTTCGAGCTAATTCATTCTTATGCAACAAGATTGTTGGTCGCGTGTTGGTGAAAACACGAAGCTGTTTAGTGAGGGCCTGAAAGAACGTGCCTGGAGTCGCGGGAACGCTAGGACCCGCTTGTTTAGTTGTACTCTAGACAAATACTTGACTAGGGTTTAGGTTTCTTATGGCGCAAGTGCGGGCAACAGCAAAGAAGCACCATGGTTTCAAATGAGTTTGATGATCATGTATGGCGTTACGATTGGTCGCTCAAAACCGCGCAAAGAACGTGATTTTATTTTATTTCTTTTCGACTAGAGCGAAGACTGCTAGCGAGCACCACTTTTTGGACTCCTTGTGATCCGCTAGCATACAAATTAATCGCTAGATAAGGGCACGTGCTCGCGTCACTAATTTTGGGAACGTCGTACGCCAAGTGTTTACGTAGCCGAGTATAATATGTGATTTACCTACACAAACGCAGAAGGGAAAGAAGATGGTACAGTTCCGTTTTGATGCTCACGGAGCCTTTTCAGTCAAGGTGGCGATGCAGGCGAGTTGATTCAGTCGTGCAAAAAGCACTAGTCCTCACCTCACCCTACGATAAACTAAAGGCCAAAGCAACGGGCTGCCAAGTCCAATCACGGGCCAGTTAGGAACCACATGTAATTCCGGTTTGCGTATATCTGAGACTCGCCCACTGATACGCACGTCGGGGCAATACACCACCTGGTTTCTAACTGGTTCGTGGTTGGATCTAACAGCCTGTAACTTTGACCTTTAGTTCACCGTAGAATTTGACGAGGTATAGACCTTTTTCGGTCCTTGTACATTGCGCTGTTTCACTAATATCTGAGCGCCTTGAGGCTGATGAGAAAGGTAGCGCTGATATTGGGACTAAATAAACGTGAACTAATCTTATCGTCAACCTAATGAAGACATTACGCAGTAACTGCAATTGAAATATACTATGAATTACTCGAGAAAATGTAGCTAACCAAGTTACAGTAACTGAAACCTCGCTGTAACCTACTAATTTAGTTATTGAAACGGTACCTAATTACAGAAACTTATTGAATACATATTGGTTCGCTGTAGTTTACGGTTTTCCTACTGCGGTGAGCCCCTCTCCTTGTCCACTAATTTTCCGAACGCCTCCGACTCAAAGCTTTGAGGGCACACTTTGAGCTTTTATGCAAGCAACGATACCTCGACTGGTGTGTGATAATGCAGGTTATGAGGAAAGAAAATAACTGGAAAAGGCCATATTGTCGCTTTGTTGTTCTTGCTGGTCGGTTGTCGCACATTACAAGCAAACAGTGCGACTCTTAGAAGGGTCACGCTCCGACACTTTTACGGACATCGAGACGATACATCTGTTTCAGAGGAGGAGGAAGACACACGGTGATGATATCCCTTCATAAACCTTGAGCTTTAAAGGGGCCCTGCAACAACTTTTTGACTGGTTTTTAATTTGCACCGAACCTGAGCGCACTGAACGTAGTAACTTAAAGAAACTTTTCTTTTCTCAAATTTCGCTTTATTTTAAAAGTTATAGGCAAATTAGAATTACAAAAACAAGCAAAAAAATAACCTGCTTCATGACGTCGTAGGACCTGGCTTGAGTGGCCGTGAACTAGAGGAGGATTAGTGAGCTCATCAAGCGCTCAGGGCTGCCGCACTCCGTGTCGACGGCTCGAGAGGGCGCCACTAAAGCACGTGTTGGATAGGCTGTATTAAGCGGGCGGCCAGGGCGGCTCGCATTGCATTTGCTGCAAGATTAAAGACTAATTCGGCATAACACTTAATTGGCCACAAACGACAGTGAACACGGGGTAAAGATCAGTTCAGAACGGGAGTCACTTCGCGCTGCCATACCGCCAAATCGCCAAATCGCCAGCCAAGCCAGCGCCGAAAGCCTTCGGAACGCTCGAACCGGTCGGATCCTCAAGCCGGTATACGACCGCAGCGCCGCCGCGTACATCCGGGACCTTTCTACGCTTGCCCTTCGCCGGTGCCTCATCCCACTAGCTCTTTCTAGGATGCGCCGTTTTTTCCGCCGCTTGGTGGCGGGTTTGTCGACGGGTCATTTCTTGTTTCCGTACTTTATAAACATTGAACAACAAAACATTGAACAACACCTACTTTTATACATAATTGAAACGGTTCGCGACACTTATATTATGCATCTCGACTAAAAAAGAAGCTTTTAGCGGCTCTGACCGGTAGTAAGCTCAGGACCAAAGACGTCACATATTGCGCGCTTTCGGCAGCGCGAGTCGCCCTCGTAGGTGGAGGAGGTTTCCGCGTCGACCGCTTAAAATATGACTCACTGATTTTTAGTTACTCTCTCCGTGCCCGCTGGCTTGCCCAAACCCCAAGAGACGTGGAAACCGCAAAAAAGGTAGACGCTTAAATATAGCGCGAGACACATGCACGAAAAATCCATCCGATCCGACGTCCGATCCGGCAGTACGACTGCCTGATCCGAATAATTTGGTCGCTTCAGACGTGGGATCGGCAATCCGGCGTGCGTCCAACGCGCCAGATAGTTTCGTACGGCGGACGGATTGTCGGATGCGTCCAGCCAATGACAGCACAGCTAGCGCGAACGTCATGATGACGTACTGGGTCTGTCGGGACGAGCAAGAAAACGGGACGGGCGACGGAAAGCCGGATGCGTGGAACCCGCTGGCCCATTCGAGAAAGATGGCCTCGGCAAAGAATGCACGCGCTAACGAGAACGAGCTTCTAACTTCGCTCGTGTGAGCTAAACCGTCAATCTGGGACCATAGATCTGTGAGCGCGGACCTCCGCTGGAGTGCTTGGATCTCCTGGGCGCAGCCGAACGGATCGTCGTGTCGCATGCAAGGTCGGAAGCCCTGTCGCGTGCGGCGATTCGGAGCGGCGTTCGGACTGTCGGATCGGACGTCGGATCGGACGATTCTGCCGTCCATGTGTCTCGCGCTTATGATTGCAGGGCCCCTTTAATTAAGGCGCTTCACGCTGGCAAGTCGCAGCTGTCGCGCGACAACTTTTGTCGCAAAAGCGGCAGTCGCAAGTCTCGGAAGCGACCGATTTGGAGCAGTCGCTGCCAGACCGATTTTAGCGATCGGCCGCGGAGTCGTGTGGCGGCTGAACCAATCAGCGGCGCCTAGGCAGTGACGTGAAATGCGCCTCGCGTTCGTTTACATCAAGAACGCCGAACTACTGATGGAGAAGCGACCAACATGTCCGTCCAACACTTCGGTTTTCGCGGTAGTTTCCGTAGACATGGAGCCACGGAGTTCTCTGCGGCGGCTCTGGTCAGCGCTATTAAGGCCACGGTCCCACTGAATGTGGCAGTTTAGGTACTTTTCGGCAGGCCATTACTCATCTCCTTTTCAATACTGTTTTTTGGGATTGATGTCATTTGAAAGGCAATGCAATCCTCTTTCATTTGATATTATGTATGTGTTGGTTTTTACTGTTCATGCCCATTTGTAGCGTTGCGAATATGATGGCGCGGACCCTCACTTGCTCTGCTAGTTCATGTTTTATGAACGATCCATTAAAGATAGCACGGTTCCAATATAGCAGTTTTGTTAAGATGACGTCGGACCAGAATCTAACGATCCACTTTTTTTATATTTGCACTACTTTGTTTTTTTCATCCCTCCAAATATTGCCCTAAAATTGACATTTTTTCGCACAAATATGTTTTTAATGGCAAGAGCTAGGGCAATGAAATTAGCTACAGATGTAGTGCTTATAATTGGTAATATGCAGAAAAAAATATAATGTTGTGTACATTTTTTTTGTTTAGATATTTTATATCAAACGTAGCACTTTTTTGTACTTCGTGTCATGGTAGTTCAAATGCCGCTGAAGAAATAATTAAACTATAATAAAATCTTTTATAACATTTAGAGCTACAATGGTTGCCCAAGAGGTGGACGATGGCTTTTTTTCATTTTCAAAGTCATAACGCTCCAGGAGCCCTTCAAACTTACCTGTTTTTGACGCATATCTGTTTTGGACATCAAACAGATTTATTGGCATTTAATAACATTTATAGTTTGGAATAGATATACATTGCGATGTATTAAATTTTCACAATGATATTGCTTTGGTTTCTTAATAGGTGTAGAGCTTAGCTAATTTTAAAATCAATTAAAAACTGTTTGGGTGTTTTGTTGCGCTACCTGGCGGATGGCAGACAAACTGCTGATTTCTAATGTTCAAAAAATTTCCGAGGGCGGCGTTGGCGTCTGTATCATCATCAATCTCCGTGTCTTTTTACCCTCACATTTAAAAAATATATTGGAAGATTTACTATCGATAACTGAATGGTTTAAGTACTGGGTTAGGCTAATCAATCTAAGACCAATATTTACACAAGCGTAGCGTGATATAATGTGTTCATTATTCGATATGATTGAAATCAATAAACAATGAAGACGAAGAGGAAAAGAATACACCCGAGTTCACTTTATGCCTAGAGCCACTAAATGAGCTTTAAAGTATCGGCACTCCGTTCCCCAAAATTGTTTTGGGCGCCGCCATTTTGGGTCTTGCTCAGAGCAAACGCAACTGCCGATCATCGTGATCTAAAAGTACGACTTCCTCAGCATTAGATGCGGTGCTAGGAAGCTGATGCAATATTGCAATGCTCTGTCGCGGGTTGTTTAAACATTTGTGAGGGAGGGAAAAGCGTTGCCTGTGATTTTAGATAAAGCTTCATATAACTGGCAACCAT